CAATTTCAAACAAGCCTTTGCCATCTAAATTATTCTGCTCCGTCGAATCATCCCGCCCACCAAACAGATAGGGACAAGACTCAAGACTGTTTGGGCCTGCAAAAAAATAATTTTGTTTCTGCTATGTTTTGTCTAGGTTTATAGGCTAGTAAAGTACATGTATGTGACAAAAAAGTAATTGAGAGGATAAATAAAAAATGTATTTTGTTATTTTTTTGAAAACCATAATACCGCAGTTTCAGTTATATTGTGTAGTCCTGTTTTATAGCCCTTGATTTTGACTATAAAAATATACATTCAGCAGAAGTGGAAAGTAACAAATTACATTTACTTACATTACTGTAACTGAGTAGCCTTTTTGTGTATTTATACTTTTTAAGTCGTTTTTAAAATCTGTACTTTTACTTGAGTATGTTATTTTAAAAGAATTATACTTCGCTACATTTTCAAGCATATCCGTTACTGAGTAAAACAATTATAGGCTTAATAAATAAAAAATATTACGCGTCTCAGCCATGGGAGGTATGGGTGTACACTTTTTATAGTGAAGACGTTAAACAGCCACACTTTTCACACCGTTTTGCTCGGAAACATCTGTCCGGTCCCCATGATGCACTCACTGTTTACCCGTCTCTCCCTCCCTCTCCTGTTGGTTGAAACCTGGCACCGGTGTTACGTTAGTATTCTGCTCAGTTCTGTAGCCGGATTCGGTTCCGTTTTTCAAATGTGTTACTCCAACTGTTCCGCACTGCAGCTGCAAAAGAGCGTTTAGCACTCATAACAAGCTGATTTCCAGAGCTTTGCTCAGAAAACAAAAAACCTGCAGGCAGCCTCCGTGAGTTTAAACATCTTGTTTGTGCAAATCAACACTTAATACTGGAGCTAATTCAGTTGTAAACATTGTGCTCCATCCCTGTATGTGTATGCATTATGTTGCTTCTTGGTGCCACAGATATGTGATGTTTTAGCTTGTTTCTTGATTTTACTCAAGAATAAGAGATTAAATTATTGCAAAAGCAGTTCAATGTAGTTAAATTAGTAATTAAATTATTCTAAAATGCTGCTGCTGTGTGTGTGTGTGTGTGTGTGTGTGTGTGTGCGTGCGTGCGTGCGTGTGTGTGTGTTACATATATAAGACAGCATGGTTTCATCACATCCAGGTATCTTATTTCATCATTGAAGTATTGGCTCACGAAAATAACTTATAGTTTATAAATAATGATGTCTCAATAGTGTCTGCAATAGGGAGCCTAAGGCACGCCCATCTACTTCTGGACCACGGGTCCCCGGATAAACGAAACAATGAATACAAGTCAATGGGCAAAAAAGGCTATTTTCTAATTCCACTTGTTTTGCGCCATGGATTTCACATATGATGTCCGTGAATTTTAAAGAACGTGCTCATTTTCGAACGGGGGGAAACAATATTTTAGGTTTTGTGTGAAAATGAGTCCACTACAAATGTCCTTAACGAAAGTGACGTCATCGAACCAGACACGGAGAAAACTAAGGGAAAAAGGCTGTAAGTTCAGCGAATTTCCCACAGGAGGAAAGAACCACCATAAATGTGGTCATTTGGTCAGTAGCAGCTATTTTGGGGAGAGGAGATTATTTGGTGACGTCATATATGCTACGTGCCGATTTCTGGTGTGTAGTCATGCTAATTACGAACTTATGCAAGCTGATAAATCTCGAAGTACGTGACTGGCGTGGTCGAAACATCCATCATTGCTTTTAATTTAAATTGCAGTACAACATATGTGCGATGCAGGGCGTAAGGCAAAGCAGATTAGAAAAGAGTGTTTTTGCTGTCATTTTTTCGTTCTTCCGGGGACCCATGAGCCAACCGGAAAGGGAGGAGACTTAGGCTCCCTAGTATTTTATCATATATTGTCCCTATCTTTGGTCTGGGAGGTGTAAACTTTTAAAACATGTTAACTTGTGTTACAAGAGGAGATAAATGCATTAATTAACATTAAACGTTAATGTTTGGACACCAACCTTCACAGGCTGTGTGGTGAGGAGACACAGTAGTCCTACCTGGACGCCCAAGGCGTTTTTGGACAGGATGGACCTTACGGCACGCTTAAGGATTCCATTTGAATGATTGGAGGATTATTTAGGAAGTTTTGAATGAACAAACTGATTCCAGTGGTGAACAGTTAAATGAGTGAGTGAACCCACTACCAAGGATGAACTCTGCTAACTTTAAAAATCAGCTGCTCTAAATAAGCATGAAGGTCAGAGAGGAGCTCTAGGATGGACACGGATAAAGGGACTTTAATGTGGAGGTGAAGCAGGGCAGGGCCAACATTAGCAGCTGTCATTCGGTCCATTTGAAATGTTTGATTTTCATTTGGCTTGTTATATTATGTGACACGTTAGAGCTCAGTCTCATGTAAGAGATTTGTTATGAAAACATTGAGATACCTCACTTACTGATGACGTCTAAAAAAAATGACTTTTTTTGTGAAAATAAAGAATAATTTTAATCACATTTGAAACATACAATCCTGGAAAAACCGCATCTAATCAATGTGCACGTCCTGTTCTCACTGACTGGATCAAAATCCCTGTCCACCTCTAACATTCAGTGTGGTACACCTACTGTGTTAGGGTCGTTTTATGTGGGTTTGATAATTCTATTATTTCAATATATGCTCCAGTATCTTGACTCCCTTGGGACGTTTAAATGGAAGGAGCTTAGGTTCCTTATACATGAGCATAGACATTCATTAGCCCTTAGAGGGTAAGGTTAGTAGGTGCTGGGAGCCAGGAACCTGCACCACTATTCAAATGAGTTATTTTCTGCTGGTTGACCAAGGGCCAGTTGGGTGTTTTTAGGCAGACCTTAGAATTTCAATGAAGCAGAGGTTAAGCATCCACCTCCATTGTTTTTACGTGAGTCAAATAAGTTCCGACATGAAAAAGGAATCAGCAAAGTGTTTTATGAGTGCTGGAATAAAAGAAAAGGAGGGTTTGCAATGCTTCTATTCCTCACTTTTGGAAGGCAATCACAGAGCAGCATAATTATTGTTTTATGGGTCAATGCAGGTCCTTACTAACAGAAGAAGCAACAGCTCTCTGTGAAAACGTCCCATGTTTCTATAGTAACAGATGCTTTTGGTAGGATTCATTTTGACCTTAAAGAGCAAGTCACCCCTTACAAGAAGCGTACTTCACTCCTACTTCATGTTTGAAAACTGCAACAAATGCTGTTGCCTAGCAGACCGAGAGGGTGGAGCCACTAACAAATACACACACTCACGACATTGTGACATCGTAATGTACCAGTTTACATCATAGCATACCTCTTAGCCAATAGCGGTGGCAGATTTAAATTCAAATGCAGTGAAGAGTTTTTACCTGACAATGGCACAACACTGACAGTTCTAGGCAGAAAATTTAAATTTTAACTAAAATGCACTAAAGTGCTAAACTATTGACTACACGTGTCTGCAGCACGATTAGACACACATTTATGTAGTTTATCAGAAAAAAATTGTTGATTTGGGGGTGACTTGCTCTTTAATTAACTGGCCAGAACTAATGAATTTGCTGTAGTTTTCTTATAAAAATATGGGTAAATATGTAGCTTGGGACCATTTAACTTATTGATTGCAAAAATTAAAAAGAAAGTTATTTTTAACATTAAAGAGACCATATGTAGTTTTTAGTAATAATCTCTCAAAATATCCATTGGAATGTTGTTGAAAATGAATTAAATGATGCCCAGTTGTTGAAACATATTGGCGACTTTGTAACTTATACTCGGGAGCAGGTCTACGTCTCTGGGCGACGCCATATTAGACGCAATGTTTCCTTTTACGTGAACCTGTGAGGACAAAAGATAGGGCAGCTTTATTTATGTAGCATATTTCATACAAAAAGCATTTACAAAACCCTCACCGTTCATAAACGTTTTACACATTTACCTCTTTGCTCGTTGCCAGTGAAGAAAGAAAAATACGTTCTCACTCAAAAATTGCACTCCCAGATATTTTTTGCCCTAATGGCTAGGGATGTGTATTGGTGAAATTTTGGCGATACATACAATCCATCCATCCATCCATCCATCCATTGTCTGAACCCGCTTCGTCCACGTAGGGTCGCGGGGGGCTGGTGCCCATCTCCAGCGGTCAATGGGCAATCAGGCGGGGTACACCCTGGACAGAGAGCCAGTCCATCGCAGACGATACATACAGTATATCACGATATATTGTGATACGTTCAGTCAGACGTTCTTAATGATTTTGTTAGACTGAGTTCATTGTAGGAATATTCAATAAACAGTCCAAACTGATACTTAACATGTTTAAAATGAGGTATCTGAACCATAACAGAGGGATTTACATTTCAATGGTGGAAACAAAACCCATTGCACACTGCTGCTGACTAGTGGTCTATGTTTGAATTACACCAAAAGAAAAGAAAATACAAAAAATATTTACATGTAAATTCTTTGATAAACAGTTTTTGAATATTGACATAATATTGCAGGAAAAAAATCACGATATATTGACATATCGATATTTTCTTACATTCCTACTATTGACCATCTGTTTGTGATGTCTTACTCAGACACAAAAATAGAGCTTGCTTGCAGTGATTTAGGTATGTACTTCCCCTTATCACTAGGGAAAATACTTGCGGTCACTTTAAATACAATTCTAGTTCAAATGAAACAATTTTTGAAGATTTTTCAATTTGTTCAACTTGGAGGGTGAAGCTGTTTAGAAGTTGTTTAAAATCCTGTCAGAGTTCATAGAGAGTTCACTCCCGAACTTCAACAAGGTTCCTGTTGTGTTTCACATTTGAAGAATCCTTTTAACTTGACTTATCTTGTATATAACACACACTGAACAAACACTTCAAGAAATATTTCATTCTGATCATTCAGTGTGTTTCTAGAAACTTGCCATTTGTCTAGTTTCAGATGGTTATCAGTTAATTTTTGCTACTTTTTTGTCAAAAATAAAATTATTTTCTTTCGACTTCAGGCATCACCACTGTGCTGACCATGACCACCATCAACACCCACTTAAGGGAGACACTACCAAAGATCCCTTATGTGAAGGCCATCGACATGTACCTGATGGGTTGCTTCGTCATGGTCTTCCTGGCACTTCTAGAGTACGCCTTTGTCAACTACATCTTCTTCGGAAGGGGGCCTCAGATGCAAAAGAAGTTGGCGGAAAAGGCAGAGAAGGCCAACAACGAGAGAGCAGCCAAATATGATGCAGCAAGGGTATGTTTGAGTTGAATAACTGGATTTATGGTCAATGGAGTGATAATGGTGTATAAAATTATTTGGTGTGTTTTTCTGCAACAACAAATCAAACACGTAATTGGTGGAAATTCCTACTGTCATTGATGAGTAATAACAACCAGCCGCACACAAATAAATTTTCAGGGATTTGCCTTCAGATGTCGCTGAACATTTTCATCTTCTCAGGAGGCAGGTAGTAGGACCGCATCCCTAAAACGGTCCAATCAGGTTAAAGGTCTACGCCACTCACGCTCGGTGAGTTGTTTTTAAAAATCCTCAAGTCCGCTCTCCCATCGCCCATCAGCTGACATGGATATGGTCAATTTTCTTTCTTTTTTTGCTTTGATGCAAATCCCACCTATCCATGTCATGAATTTTGCAAGAACAGACATCTCCATAACATTACGTTTCTAAAATTGATTCTCATGCTTACATTGTGAGAAATGATGTGTTAGATGCCGTTTGTTCTCCTTCGAGCTCATTCTTAATGCATGTTGTTGTAAAGCCCTCCTCATTGAACTCATCAGTGAAGTCATTTTGTTCATGGCGCATGTCAGGATGTGTTGCATCAATGAAGACTTCTAGTAGGTAGTCACTGTAGAGGTCCCCCTCCCACGTCTAACACTTTTATTGAATAATAATAATAAAAAGTTCACAATAATATTAGCATCAGTCTTTAATCAGCTGTGTTTTAAAGATCCTGACGTAGCTTGAAATCTTACTAATATGCTCATAATACATTTGTACCAAAGCTTACATGTGACTCATGTGTCTATGATACTTGAAGTCAATAGGTGGCCACAATGTGCTAGTTACGAATAACCTCACAAAGTTTCTTGTCAAAATAAGTGAGCTTATAGGCTGGTTTCCACTATTGGAACTTAAGGGTGATTTTACTGGAAGTTCGCGGCATGCATGTGCTAGCCGAAAGGACTTATTTCCGGGCCACTTCAGGAACCAACGGAATACCTGAACAGGGATAGGTACTTGCAAATGGCCCGGTTGAGTCACTAAGCAGAACTTGTGGTTAAACTCATGGCAATTGGTTGTAACCCAACACAACTTTATTTATATAGCACTCATCATGGAAATAAAATTCAGAGACCTTGTCACAGAAAGTCAAATCAAAGAGAAGAGATAAAACAACATACATACATACAGCGATCAATAAAACAAGCAATAAAACCTCAACGATAAAATATGGTTGAACTAAACCTGTAAAATACTAAAATAAAGCCGGTAAAAACAGGTGAGCTTTATAAAATCCTCCACTGGGGGCAAAGAACAAAGTCTCAAAATAAGCGCATTCCATAGGGTAGGAGCAAAGACCTGGAAATCGTGGTCCCCTATGCTCTTAAACTGAGTATGCAAGGTCACAAGCAATTGAAGATCCACATATCTAAAGCCCCCTTCGGAAATGTTCCGGACTCTGTCCGTAAGACCTTTGTGTCTGAATACAAACATCCGGATAACGTGTTCCGGAATTTAACCGGACGAAGCCCCTAGTAACAGGTCCGGACTTGTTACGGACAGGGTGGCTGCTTCAGACTGGTGAGGTAGAGTTCCGGACAAGGGGGAGGGGGAGGAGGAGGGGACCGGGGGATGCTGTGCGCACCTAGATAGCCAGCTGCTGTAGCAAGCGGCGAACCACGGCGGCTCGCCTCCTACGGTAACGCTAGACGCGCGACGGAGCGCTTCACACCGCTTCCGTGATTCCTTTAACCATTGAGCATCATCATCCAGGTCTCTTATGCGTCTTCGTGTGTGCAGAATTATGCTTAAGTGCCTCGTGATTTTTATCTTGAGAGGCGCTATAGAAATGATATTTTCTTCTTCTTCTTCTTCTTAACATAAGTCCGATCCCCCCACCCCACCCCCCGCCGCCGTCAGACATCTGGAACTTTTCCCTGCTGTGTGAACGCAGCCGAAAGGACAAGTTCCAGTATAAAAGTGGTGTGTCTGAAAACACAGTTCCGGTTAAAAACCGGATTGAATTGTCCACAAATGTTCCAGAATGTCAGTCTGAAAAGGGCTTAAGAGTGCGAGAGATAGGAATGTCTGCAACTGATGCCAACCTATGCAAAACCAGAATTTAAATGCACTCCAAACTGTACGAGCAAATAGTGCAGCACTCCAAGCAGCAGAGTGGACAGCCAGACAGCAGCATTTTTCATCAATTGGAGGCGTGCCATGTCTTTCTTACTAATAAATGGGTATCGAATATTACAGTAGTCCAAATAGGAAGTGATAATTGTGTGGATCAACATTTTCAAGTCAAGTCTGGAGAGCAAAAAGTGCAACTTTGCAATATTTCTTAACTGCAAAAAGCAGTTCCTAACTAGCATGCTAACGTGGCCTGATAGGGACATCTCAGGGTCAAATATCAAACTTTAATTCCACTGCCTTGATTTCACAGATGAATTTAGGCTACCTAAGTAGTCTCTGATAGCTTAAGTTTTTTGTTTAGGGGCCATTATTACTGACTCTGTCTTTGTCACAGTCAGTTGCAGTAGTTTAGCATTGAGACAATGTTCAACCGCAGTCAAATAAAACAGAGCTGATAGCCCAAGCAGCTCCTTCTCTGAGACAGAACCTTTCAGCTGAGTATAGTCAGCCTAGAAGTGATAAGAGACACCACTAAACTAGCTAATTATTTGGCCCACCGGTAACGAGTACAAATAGCCAACAGCACTAGTTTGCGTGATTCGGGAGGGTGCGGTATGGTCTGGCCACTTTTTCCAACAGCTTGGTTCTGTATTTTACGCCTACTTTCCATCTACTTCTGTCCCTGCTTTGTTGTGGTTCCAAGGGATGAGCCAGGCTGACATCGCAACTGTCGGCCACTGATTGGCTAGGAGATGGAGTACCTGGTTTTGAAATAGTTTCCAACCTCAGAAGCTCAAGCCTGTTTTTTTAGCAGTGGTTGTCACCCCGGCTGCCAAGGACAAATTCATGAGATCCATAATAGTGGGGGCAATGATAACTGAAACATCTCTCAGAAGGGTGACAGGAATGACAGATGGGTAAGAAGAAGGCCTCCATTTATGGAGTAAGGATAAGGCATCCGTAAGAGGCATGGCCTCAAACTGGGACCACATTCTGGGAGAAGTAGACGCCAGGGCTTTATCAGACAACACTGGCAGGAATGTTTTTTTAAAATATTATTTATATTATTATCTACCTTTGCTCTGAAATGCTGGAGGCACTTTTTTGCATTAAGCTGGGTTTTGAGGGTTAGGCAGAGACACTGAATGATAAATTTTTTTCAAATGGCACCATTATCATTTATTTTTCTTGCACCAAGTACCGCAGCAATTTCCTAATGTTGTGATTCTCGCACATATGGCAATAAAACCTTTCTGATTCTGATTCAAGTTTCTCTTCTTAGCGAATATCAGTTGAGGAAAATACAGGTGTCTAGCCTTAATCAACTCATCAATCAAATCCTTCAAAAGTTCCCTAAGATAAATTCTGTGCACCTCAAGTTTGGTTTTCTTCTGAAAGTGCTCTGTTTTACGTTAACGCCCTCTTAACGGAAGGATTGATGAATTGCACTAAGGGTGGGAGTGCATGGTAGAGCCCCGTTACTGTCTGACCCCGGTAACCTGCTCCACAATAACCTTGCAGCAGTTGTTAGAGATAGCCTGTACTCAATAGTAACTCAGTAGGAAATTACATCAGCAGATGTCGCCCAAAACAACCGGCATTTGTAAAACTAGAAGAGTTGCTGGTGAAGCAGAATGGAAGGAAAGGAAAATAGGCAAAGTATGCGGTGCTTTAAAATGCCCTTTCTAAACACCCAATATCAAAGAAATTGGCAGAAACCCCCTCACAATGCTGTAATTCACTGTGCTTTGTTTTCTCACAGAGCACCAAAAAACTGCACTTCTTCTGGGGCCTCTTTTATCAAGCTTGCTTACGCACAAAACGGGGTCGCAAAACTGCGTAAGCAACTTTCCACGCAAACTTTGGGATTTATGAAAGAAAACTTAGCGGACAAATGTGCGCAACTTTAAGTTGACTAAGGACCTGGCTTACACACATGTTGGACATGGAGTGCACCTGCAGTGCTGCTGCTGAGAAGGATATAATTATGAAATCCTGCAGCATTATCACTTGTACTGCTTCGTTTTCACACAGAACAAGACCGCACACACACACACACACACATGTGCGCACACTCACACACACGCGCGCGCGCACAAACACAGCCTGAAGCGCAGAATACGGAATGCAGAATATCAGCAGGGGGACGGATTGAGACAGAATGTCATGCGTCTGTGACAGTGTGTGTGTCCTGTCACTGTGGCACGATTGATCATGCGCCCTGGCTACTTTTACAGGGGAGATATCCGTTTGGCTGACTGGTTAGCGTGCATGACTCACCTGGGAGTCTGGGGATCGAATCCCGATTGGACCATTTTTTTTATATCCGCCACAGATCTCTCTGAAGAATTCACAACATTGACGGCTTCAGCAACGCTGTGCCACTCCGTGGATTTTCTCTTATTTGTTTTGCAAAAGCACTTAATTTCATTTCCCCACTTCACCCACAGGCACCTCAATTTCTGCTTCTGTGAAATTGTTCTTCCTTGATCTGCCTTGATCTACGGTCACCATGTCATTGTCGGAGCGCTGCAACAGCCGGCTTATGTATATGCATGAGATCCACAAGGCACTTTGCATTGACTATTTATGGCAGTAAGTGGGCGTGGTGAGGGCGGGATGTGACTAAAAGCAGCTGAGAACTAGGGATGAGCGAGTACGCCACTATCTGTATCTGTATCTGTTCAACCAACTAAATTATCTGTATCTGTACTCGGAATGGGCGTGGCATAACCCGGAAGTGGGCATGATTTAACCGGAAGTGGGCGTGGTTTACATCAATATATTGTTTTAAGTCTGAAATTGATATGGATTGATCAGAAGTTGATATGTGTGTTGTTTATTTGAAAACTATTTACAGAGCAGCCTCAGAATTTAGATTAAATATTTTGATCACAATGGTAAAGGAACTATTACAGAACAAGTGTTTCAATAAAATCAGAACATCAATATTTAAGTGCATGGATTAATACATCTGAACTCATGCAGTAGGAACTAGGAAATATGAAATGCTAGAACCAGACACAACTTTATATATATTTTTTTTATTTTAATTTGATTAAACAGATTTTTTTCTTAACGTTCTTGGCATTTTGCCCCACACAAAGTTAAACAAAACAATGTTGATTGAGGTGTGTGTGTCTGAGAGAGATAGAGAGGGAGTAAAAAAAAATTTTTTTAAAACCAGACCGGAGCGGAGATGGTGACTGAGGGCAGCACGTCAGCTCTGTCTTGTCAAATGCATCAGGTAAGTCACGAAAAAAGTAACTTTAAATATTCAACCGAAAAAGAGGCGAGCTGAATAAAACCTAGGGAAAACTGAAGAAACGTGAGCAACAGTGAAGCAATCACAGCGAGATCCACTAAGTTACTACGGGACTTCACCAGTTGCTACATTTGCATGAAAATTTGCAATTTTCATGTCTGTTGAGCAGTCTTGTGCCACACTCATCATAAGCATGGTTATGATGTACAGTTCTGTATCTCCTATGTTTAATCACAGTTTTCAGTGTAATAATAAACTGACTGGTGTTACCTAGATCCATGAGTTAAGTTTATCTCTTGAAATGGATACCTCATTGTTTTCAGGAGGTTTGGTGATTGTTGATGCCTTCGTGCCAGTATACAGTAAACCCAAACTGATTGTTTTCTAACCTGTTTTCTTTCAGCAGTTATACCACTCTTGCATGAAGTTTAAAAACTATCTTCTGATAAAGTTTGATTATGTCTTCTACCACTCTTTAGTGCCCTCGTTAGGCATTATTGAACCTCAAATCCTGTTGTGGGAAGTGGTTCACTCTACTGTATACCTATACACTCAATACATCTTTAAGATGTCAATTATTTTAAAGGACAAATTCCACAAGATACTACCAAAATAATTCACATTTTCTTAAAATGTGCAAAATCAGTTGTGTAATTTTGTAGGAATAATTTCTTAATTTTACAACCTGATTAAGGTTAGTTATTGTGTCAGTATACTACAAGGTAGTTTAAACCTAATATATAGGCTTGGTTACAGGTGTCTGCTAATAACACAGCAAATGTCTTAGTGCACAGTTACTTTACCAGTACACACATAGCAGGGTACCCCATAACACAAAGAAATGCAAGTGGTGCTCGCTGCAGAACCACAAAGGCGAAGCTGCCCATTCCAGAGTCAGCCCCGCCCATTCCATCAGAGTCAGTCCAATTCCTTCCAGTTGTCAGACTTAATAGCATTCTGGAACCAAAGAGGGTGTTATAGCTAATATCATCTAAAATGCAAGATTGAGGACTGAGTTGAGAGGTTAATCGAACCGTTTTTGTAAACGTTCCAGATAATTAAAAATCTAACTTTTGGAACTTTTTACCACGTTATATTGTCATTTCCTCATAAGAAATACCCCAAAGCCCTCTTTGGCCTCATTCACACATTTTCATCCCATCTCAGCTTCAATTTGGTCCTCTCCTCCGAAGCGGGTCTGGTCTTGGTTCTCAAATCTGGATATTCTGTGAATTTTCTGACAAATTATTTCTGAAATGACTTCTACTGAGACACCGCCAGAAAAACCATACATCCCATCTACAAAAACACACTGGATGGCACAATTACATGTAATGCCACTAGCTTGTTATCATATGCATTGGGGAAGTGCTTATGGAGTCAGATTGGCAAGCAATTTTGCGCAAGCTCACCTCCTGGTAGCGGCGCAAACTTTTTTCTTCCTTTCTAGCTACACTTGCCAGTACTATCTTTTTAATATAAATGTTTGTATATGTCGATGGTTTTTAACCATTTATTGGTATACCATTTAAAATATAATGACTAATGTGTTTGTTTTTTTATTTATTTGTTTATTTAGCCAGTGTGAGTCCATTTGTGAGCAGAGTTTCAACTAAAATGCTGTTTAGGAACGACCAAATTCAAAGACCTTTTAGAAACAAAAATATTTTGCGGAAAATAAACATTACATCTAAAATATAAACAAATTAAATGTTTCAGCTGGCTAAATAGATTGCTGCCGACCCCACCGAGGGTTGAACCAACATCAGCAGAGGGGAAAGCAAAACTTAAGTTAGACGATCATGCCACTAGACTACCAGAGCCCACAAAACAACAATAATCCTTAAATGCTGTCGTAGGCCGCTTTTGTTGGAGTGGCTGTGGACAGATATTTGCTAAAAGAAACCTTTTTGTTTCGGGATATATTCAGGCTTTGTCATGTAGCAAGTTATATTTATCTTGCTTGATTGGAGCATAGAACATAGCATTAACAGTTGTAAACTAGTAACAGCCGTAATTCATGTGGGTCAAGTTAGTTTGCGATAAAATTTAAAAAACAAAACCAGAAGAAGTCAGTGGGCTAGGCTGAGTTTGCGTGAGTGGGCGGGGCTGACTCTGGTTTAGCTCCACCTTTGTGGTTCTGCAGCGAGCACCCTCTCAAGAAATGCGAACCCAAGTTTTTTCCTAACTGGGCAGGGCAGGGTATTTGGGTTTATAAACACCCAACTATGTGTGGACATGGCCTAATGCATAATTTACGAGTTAGATATGTACCAATTTCATCATAGATGGTTTTAAATTGAAATGCCATTTTCATAGTATTTAGGACAGATTTAGCTGTCTCATATTTGGTATCTGCTGAAATGTTTTTGAATAGGTAAGTATTTTCTACACTGCCAACCATGCCATGACTATCAATCCTTAAAGTTTTTAATTGTAAACTTAACATATAATTTATATATTTCAGTTTGAAGTAAAATGGCCTTCTCCTGTGTATGTAAACAGAAAAATTCCTCATAATTTCTATTTAAAATATTGAGATCTGTATCAATAGCCCTTTTAGAGATGGCACTAAAAGTGAGTGTTAGAAATACACCAGTTGGTGAGCAGAATTAGCGTGTCTTCATTTGAACAGTCACTAAACTAACACTGTCACATTTTTCATGTATTTTATTGGTTGTGTTGGTTATCGAAAAGGCAAAACTGGAATTGGCAAGTCATTACTTAATATAAAATTGGAAATCAAAATGACCTGAAATGCCACAGGAGATTTATCTTTATTACACGTAGCCAAACAAAAAAAATTTGGGAACATTTACAATATATGAATTTAACCTTTTTCGGCCACATTTGACCACAAACTACAATCTACTCTCCTAAACTAGGAACTAGGGATGTCCCGTTCCGATATCGATATCGGAAGTAATTCAGTATCGGTCCAAAAACCGTGTATCGGATTAAATCGGACGGCATCAAAAATCTCCGATATAAGCAGTCCATTAAGGATCACATTTTTGCAACCGATGGTGAAGAAAAAATAGCCATTTTTTTCATAATACTGTTTTTGGCTCTTGTTCTCCGATTGAGTAATATCACTTGATCAAGCCTTTCATACATTCCACACTACGAAACAGGTTAAAGTATGAATGATTTGTGCTGATATGTTTCAGCTTGATATCGGTATTGGTCAATACTGAAGGCTGCAATATTTGTATCATATCGGAAGTGAAAAAGTTGTATCTGGACGTCCCTAGGAACACTATTAAAATCGTAAAAGCTGTGGTCGAAATGTTCATGTAACCTGTTGTAGCAATTAATACATATTAATTATGACCAGTAAGATGTGATATTCCATACAAATATGAAATATCAATCTGATTGATCTTTGAATGTTTAATCAGAAGATTCTAGTTTATTTTTACTTCTTTAGTGATCATAAACACATTTCGTATTAATTCAGACAGAATCAGGCATATAGTTTATAAAATGAATTTGATTATTTTTCCTAAACTAATAATTTATAGATGACAAGATATGAATAATGAGATATGATGTGGTGGATATGAGGTGTTGTGATGGAAGCTAGATGTTGTAGCAACCATTCTTTGTATCTGAGAGAAATTGTGAAATCTGCTTGTGTAAAAGAATTTGTTGTTTGGTTCTAAACTAGAGAGTTAGTTATTGATAAAACCCTCATCAGACGCAATCTGTCGTGCCAAGTTTACTCACCCTTGGTGTGGAGGTTCTCGTTCGACCCGGGGGTCGATGGTCACTGTCGGTGGAGTGAACCTCTGATATCAGGAACTCGTAGACAGCTCCGATAGAACCCGTCCAGTCTGAGATCCCTTGAGGTGAAGTCCTAAAGCTGGAATGCTTATTTACGTCTAAGGAGGATGTTTGCTTGGCTCTTAGAAGAGCTGATTGTCTGGTATCAGCTGCAGCGTTGCAGAGAGGCTTTGACAGGAGGTCAAAGGAGAAGGTGGTTTCAAAAATGCTTCTTTCCTGATTTGGCCGGTTCGAGGGTCAGTGGGAAACCGACTTACTCGGGAAGTTATTCTTGTTTTATTAAACTACTTTGTTATGGTTTCTGGCCAAGTTTGGCAAATCAGAATTTGACACATTTCTGAGTATTTACCAACATCCCTCAGAAAGCCACTCCTTCTTGCAGATACCAAGATGTTTTTTACCTTAATATGTATCTTATTGTAAGGTGTATGAGTGTATATAATGATTAGGTTGTTAAATCAAACACATACTGATTTGTGATGTAAATGGATCACGGTAAGAACAATATTCATTTTAAAGCCATTGATTTAAGCACAGGTTATTCAAACCTTTGATTTAAACATCTTGTTCATTCATCACATATGATTATTTAAATTATAACTATAAAATCATGGGAGTCTTCACTTATTCAGAGTGAAGAATGTTGACATCTGGCGTTCACACAGTGAGTGCAGGAACCTTGGGAGAGAATGTTTATTTGAATGTTTTGTGTTAATGGAATGTCAACACGTGCTGAGCAGAACCTTCTGGATTTAGAAGGCCAAATAGAAAGTGGATTTATGCTGTAGATGAAAGGTCACTATGTTGGTCAATATGTAGGTGAAAATTGACCCTTTTTGTATGTTACACTGCGGACATCCGTTGGTTATTGTACCAGTCACTGTCAACATTGAGTCTTCCTCTTGACCGTTCCCAAGCAAAGACGCCAAATGCTGCATGATGTTAACACAACTTTAGTGACCAAAATGTGTTTTCAGTCTGAGCTACAATGTAGAAATGAATTTTGAAGAGGTACATTAACAAATGTTATTTGACAATCTTATTATCTACCCATTCAGGCAGAGCCTCATGGCCACGGAAACATCCTACTGACCACCCTGGAGATCACAAACGAAGTGGCAGGAGGTGAGATCACCACCAGTGTGGCGGACATAAGAAACTCTCAGTCCATGGTACAGTTGGACAGCACAGCCTCATCACACATCCAATACCGCAAGCAGAGCGGTGGGATAGGGCCACGCTCCACCAGCCGCCACTCCATGGACCGGTCTGCCCAGATGAAACGCAGTCGCCTACGGAGGCGATCCTCTCAGCTGAAAATTAAAATCCCCGACCTGACAGATGTGAACGCCATTGACCGCTGGTCGCGCATCATCTTCCCTTCTGTTTTTTCCCTTTTTAACCTCATCTACTGGCTCTACTACGTCTGATCGAAATGTTTTGTTGTTAGTTTGACTTTGGTTTTCAATTCATTTCTTTGTCCTTTTTTTGTTGCTTTTATACATGATGGACTCTGAGTCAAGGACTGCAGCACAGCAAGACAAGGAAAAACAGAGAAGACTTCTAAGTTTTGGACCAAATTTTCATCTTGAGTGTTGTTTTTTTTATAAATATATATGAAATCTTTGAATCCTTAGTAATAAGGTGTTTTTATTTTCAAAGGTACTTATTGTAATTTGGACTTGTGGTGGTCATTTCCTGACGTTTTCCTTCTGTAACATGTAAATAGTAAAACACAAAGCCAGCAGATGATCAAGTAACAGTATTTTCAAAAAAGAAAAAAATAACACAAAAGCAGTCAAGACAAGGAACTTTTTAAATAAAAAATAGAGAATTTTGTACACCACAGTTGATCAAGTACTGGCAATATCTTAAACTCCATTAAACTGTGGTATGCTATGCATGTGGTGATCGGCCGTAGTAAAACTTTGCCTTGGATTATGGTACAGCTCTTACAATATGACGTGTATGTGTTTGTAGTCTTGGTAATATACTTGGTGCAAACTACACCCTACCATGCGTTGATCTGGAAATCTTTATCCAAACATTATGGCTAAAAAAATACTTTCACGCAGGATTAAGACCTTATAACATTATTAAAAAGTCAACCAAAGACCTTGGATGGTCTTCGGAGAATGTTGGAATTGTCTTAGGAATGCAGTGAGCTTTGATTTTTACCATACACAAAACTTCCATTAGTAAGGTTGTGATAGTTTATTAAACTCTGGGTGGAGCATGGTGGTAATAATCCCATGACATGGGCCTTGGTCATTGAGATTTTGTAGTATGACTGGCCTCGTGCCTTAGCTATGACCCCATCATACCATCAGCATTGTGCTAGAACAATGTGATTTCTTAGCACATAGGTCGAGTATGACACTGTCCAAGGGAGTGGCACCATTAGAGCACCCAAGATGTTGCCAACATGTGGTAGGGAAACCCTATTTGGCAAAGTTTAAACGTGCAGCGTTGCGATTGCCTTTGAAGTAGGGATGCAACAATATCACTTTTTTCCAAACCGGTACGATACCGATACTTGGGTCTGAGTACTCGCCGATATGATTATCAATACTTCTACCACACCAAAAAATGCAATGAATTGGAATACAGGTTTTATTTTCTTCTCTGCTTTCAACAGAAAAAGACTGTGAGGTAGATTAAAAAATAAAATCTATTAATAGGAATGATCACAAAACTAAAATATTAGGTGAACAGAAATGACTAGTTACAGTGAAGGCGCTTTCAGGCTACTGCATTGGTATCTCTTCCTGGCATCAGTTAACTTTTACCGATACCGATACTGGTATCGGCCCGATGCCAGTATCGGTATCGGTGCATCCCTACTTTGAAGATATTTTAAGTTTTTGATATTAACCAGTAGGTCACATGGGACATTAAGGGTCTTAATCCAGTGTGAAGGGGGCCTAAAGCTGAGGATCTTCCCCTTTTTTCAGGATGATTTTTGACTCAGGTTTTAAATTTTTTGGCATCCTTTTATTCAAAAACAAAAGTGTCAGTGAAATTTTCACATTGATCCTTTGGGAAGGGAAAAATAAGCACAACTTGTGAATAAAACTGCCAATTTTTTCACTTCTAACTTTGGGGTGAGTATGCTTCACATATTTGCATGACAGAATTGCACTTAAATTTACAAAACTTCTTCAAAAAACTGTCTTTTCTCTACATTTTAATCAACTGCCAATGGCCCTTTGGGCATCACAGTTAATACTTAACCCATAAAAAGTGTGATATTTTTGTACTTATATTTAAGTATTGATTTAATTTCCTTACATGTCTTGTTTTCTTTTTCTCAAGACAAATAATTTTGTGGTGATGGTATGGTGGAATTAATTCTTTGTAAATAGGTACATAGTTGTGTAGATACATAAATGTACAGTATATATACTATATGTGCAACCCAAAACGAGAATGGATAAGTTAGTGATGGTGAATCTGACTAAATTGTCAGATTATTTAGCAAGAAAGGATAGAAATTCCTCTAACTGATCACTTTGAAGCATCAAATCCATTTTCTGATCATTCAGGATACATTCCGACTCATCAACCGACCATGCTGAATTTTCTCTCCAGTCAATGTATGTACTGTAACTCGATCTCTACAATCCAACAACCACTGCATGCCTGGCCATGCAGCAGCAAAGCAATGCCAATGGATTTCATAGAGTCAAAAGATGGGCCTTGATAAGGAGTCTGTTTTAAGCACACACTAGCATTGAATGTATCAGATCCATTCTTCAGGGAGAGGATAATGAGCCATGGTTAACGTTTCTCCATTAGAATGTAACAGACCCATTCTTAAGTTGCAAGTGGTGTAGGAACGCAGAGAACGAGAAATGACTGTGTTTTACAATTGTGCATGTGCATACGAGAACTGGATAAGAAGACGCTATGATTGAACAGTGTTGGTTGACCATTTATTTTCTGTGCTGCTTGCTCAACTTTGGACTTTTGTGGATAACAAGAACTCTCCCATCCAACAAACCATGTGCCATTCCACCAAAGGTTGTAGAGTTACAACTTCAAAATATTCTTGTTCAGTCTCTGAAATGTATCCACTTTTCTTTCATGCACGTGCGAGACTACATGTATAAAAAATCTTTAAAAGTAAGTGAAAAAATACTTTAAAACAGTGAGTCTGGGCACATACAAATGAAACCCTGTATAGTCTAGTATATGACAAAGAACTGAATGTATTGTACTCAGATTGTCGCAGCACAAATGCAATTTGGTGTCTGGGAGCAGGAATGACCTCAACCTTGAATAATATAGGGCTTGTGTTGACTAATTATATTTATGTGACCCAAAGTCATGTTTTCTACTGTGTAGAGAGGGTTTAGTGCAATTTAGAAATGAAAGCATCACTTTACGATTAATTAACTTGTTTGTAGGTCAAAACATTTTGTTGAAAGAGTGTTCAAACATAATGCAACGGTTTTTGTTTTGTTTTACAAGTTACACATTTTTAGTCTGGCCATGGCAACCATAAACAGAGATCAGTCAAGGGACGGAATCCCTTTCAAACTGTCTCCACATGCTAGTGGACAACAAACAAGACAATCACCACTAATGTCAGTCAACAGGGCCATCTGCATACACTGTCGAAGAAGTGCATCATTTTTAAAATAAAGGACTTAAGTCGTTAAATGTGCTTTTGACTCAAAGAAAAGCCCAAGTCTAAATAGTCCAGAGTTGATGCCAAAGCCATTTCAGTCGAGTCATTGACTTCTTTGATTTTCGCTCAGTCGCAGTAACATCCCAAAAACCTATTTGACTGAGCGCTGTAAATGGCAAGAACGTTTGGGCTTGCCGAGGCTTCAATGGAGCATGGCTAAACAGACACACAAAGCAAAAAAATGTAGTTTTTTTCTGTCTGTACACTTCTAGGCTAATAACTTTTAGTTTTATTCCATAAACTGTTACTCAACATCATTGAGCTCTAAGATGGTGTATTGAATGATATGGATACATAAATGAAGCCATTGTGTCAATGAAATGACACAATGGGAAAAAAATTTATAATTTTTTTTTATCTGGGAAAGTTTGTTTAAAAAAAATTACAAAAATGCAAAAGAAACTGACTTGATTTACTGGTATAGAGGGGGTTGCGCAAAACAAAAAAAGGTCCTTCACTCATGCTTTTAACACACTTGCAGTGGCTTGAAGTAGGAATGAACCTTGTAAGTTGTTCTCTGGGGGGAAATAAAGCTTATGCGACTCTTTCAGCACGGAGAATTCAGCTGGAGAAGAAGGTAGCTTTAGAAGACAGGATTTGGAGTCTTACTTCCTGATATTTGGATATCTCACCTCTGATTGGAAAACAGCAACACGACTACGACTGACTCTTTGCTCTTTAACATTGATGTTTTATCAATGTTGAAGACAGTAACACAAGCCTGAAGGAGTTCTGCTGTGTGGTGGATTTGCTAATGCTCACAATTAGTGTCTACTAGTCAAGACATTCTCTGCTGTTTCCTAAATGCTGAACCAACAACAGCCTTCCCTGTTGGCCAAGATAGATGAGTCCATGAATGTTAAATGACATTGTAACATAGATCTGTCAGGCTATTCAAATCCTAGAGATTCAATGTCTATTTTGTATCAAAAGCTACTGCAAGAGATGGGTGTAGGAGACTGTTTTCACGTTCAACCTGCATGAGAGTTATGATCCATTTCAAAAATAAGTAAAAAATAGTTTCTCAGTAAAGGACCTCTAACAATTCAAGTACCCAACTGAGTGCCAGGAGTTGATTTTTTTTTTGTACTTGGCAAAACTAAGTACTATAACTAATTGCTATGTTTAGAAGTCAATACACCTCAAATAAGTTTCTCTGGGTTGTTAGGGTTATATATTGATTGAATGCCATTCCTTTTGAGTAGAGTCTTTATTCATGACACATCTTTAAAATCAAATGTGCAGTCTTGTTCAAACACCCTTTAAAAGAAAATGTTTTGACTTTATTCTGAAGCAAAAAGTATAGTTTGGTGATCTGCTGTGTTGAAGGTTGTTGACGTCATGGATCCTGTCTATCCAAAGCTGCTTAGCATAGTTTTCAGAATAACTTTACCTGTCAATGTCGAATGAAGCTTCAAACTATTGTAAATAATAATCATGGAACCTAAAAAACACTTGTGGTGCAAGCCTAAAAACCACTCTTCCTGGCCTGTTGACTAGTTTCACTTGAAGTGTAAACATTGGATGTGGTGACAGTAAATTAGTCTTTTTATTAAATTATCAAACTGTGGTGTGGAATTGTTGCGCAGCAGAGAAAGCAACTGTTGTAAACTGTAGATCAGGGCTATCCTGAAGGGCCACTGCACTGAACATTTTCCTGCTCCAACACGCCTGAATCAAGGGTTGAATCTCCCCTTCAGCAGGTCCTCAAGTTATTCAAGACATTCAATTAAAACTAGCGGTGTTGGTGCAGAGAACCTTAGAAAACCTTCAGGTCGTAACCATCGATAACCAAGACTAAATAGCCCTTCTCTAGATACAACTCTAGAAACCTGTTTACCATGCTTGCAAGGATTCTTAACTTTGGGGAGGGGAATTTAAAGACTCCTTAAAGATAAATGCCAACTGCTCTTATTTAGAGATGACTCTAAAAACCCTAACCCTCTATAGACAAAAAAGAAAAAAGAAAAAAAAAAGAAGCAAAAACCCACTAAAAGACCTTTTGAAACTTCGCCATCAAAGAAATTGTTGTATGGCCTTGGTCCCATAATGGAATGTTAAATGTTCTGTGCTGCCAGAAAATGTGTTCAGGTTTAGGTTTTTACAGTATATCTGTGTGTTTCTTTTTTTCAATTGAGCATCATGCTAAACCATTCAAATAAATGCTATATATTCCACCTGCGCGTTTGGTATCGTGAGCATGACACGCCATAAAGGATCTGCATACTGCTGAACATGAAAATGAAACAATAGCAGACTTTAAGGACTTTTTGCCAAATACTTTTGATTTATTTTGAAGTTAATAAATCCAATAGTTGTTTTACTTTTGGAGAACGCAAATGCCCTCCAGCATTTAATTGCTTTATTTTCCAGTGCAACTACTCAACAAGTCAGCTTGAAACTTGGCAAATCCCACTTGAATATTGAACAAAGTTTATGAATGTGAGTCTGAGTGATATGTATTCTGCTTCCACAAATAAATACATTTTGGAAATTATTTTATGGAGGTTATTTTTGACTGAACTTGATGTTTTCTTTTTTGTACAGTTATCACAAAAGCCATAATTCTGCTAGTTAAACTGAAAACACTTGGTTGCATTTTCTGAAATGTACAAATGTCTGATAAGAACCATGGATGGAAAGTCTACATCTTGCTTGGCTCCCCTTTTATCTTGTCCACCTTGTCTGGGAAGTCTTTCTTGAGGCAAAGCTTACCGGGCCTTTCCGCTGGACTCCTAAGTGTTGAGTAATGTTCGTGAAACGTAGTATGCAGCAATTAGTTTCCATTACAGTTGATGGTTGCGTTTTTCACTGGCCACAAATAATTTTGCTTTGGATGCGCCTCAGAAGCTTAGTGATACGTCACTTCCCTAAATTTATGCTTTAAGCAGATTTTTTATGCTCTTTGCTTCAACAACGCATCAGATCAGCAGTTTAGATTGGGCCAGGCAGGAAGTCGAACACAAAAGCAGAGGGAAACCAACCCAATGGAAATTTTCTTTATGATGCTACATATTTGAAAGGTCTTGTAGCATGACAGTAAAATATCTACATGAAGAAAATAAGTCAAAACATGGAAACAACGGCCAGACTAAACACTTTTATTCTATTTTAAATTCACAGCGTATACTCTTCACATACTAGTAACTATTTTAGTGGATTTTCCTTTTTTTGTCTTACTGGACGTTTTTTTCCAAGTACCCGAGTTTCATTGTTTGGCTGAAGTAGCTAGGTCATCCATGTGGTGTGTATAAGGAGCCTAAGTCTCCTCCCTTTCCGGTCGGCTCATGGGTTCCCGGAACAGCGAAAAAATCAATGCAAGTCAACGGGGCTAAAAGAACTATTTTCTAACCCGCTTTGCCTTACGCCCTGGATCACACATATATTGCACTGCAATTTAAATGAAAAGTAATGATGGGTGTTTCAACCACGCCAGTCATGTACTTTGAGATTTATCAAAAAAAGTTCGTAATTAGCATGACTACACACCAGAAATCGGCACGTCGCATATGTGACATCACCACATAATCTCCTCTCCCCAAACGTAGCTGCTACTTACCAAATGACCAGATTTATGGTGGTTCTTTCCTCCTGTGGGAAGTTTGCTGACTTATTTTCACACAAAACCTAAAAGAGCATTTCCCCCGTTCGAAAATAAGCACGTTTTTGGTATCAAAATGTGTCCTTAGAATTTACGGACATCATACGTGAAATCCATGGCACAAAATGAGCGGAATTAGAAAATAGAGTTTTTAGCCCCATTGACTTGCATTAATTTTTTTCATTCTTCCCCGTGGTACGGAAGTAGATTGGCATGATTTAGGCTCCCTATTGCCAGTAATCCATCTAATTTGTTGTCATTTATGTACTCCAAATATTCTTGAAAAATCCAAGCAACCATAGAGCTACTACTAAGGCTAATATCTATTTACAAACTAAATATCCAGCTAATGATGATAATTAGGACATTAGAAGGAGGTCATTGCCACCAAAGGACTATTTTGACTTCTCCAACTCACAACTGAACACAGCATGTTAAACAGAATACGTTGTTCCAATATAAATGAGGTCTTGTTCAGTTTTGTCCCATGGCATAAATTAAATCTTAATTCCTTCAAAAACTACTACATAACAGGTTTGACACCCCTGCTGATTCCCAAACCCCAGACATGAGATAACTATTTCATGTAAACAATACGGGGCTTTTAATTAGTTTTTGTGTAAGAACCAGCTATATGCAGACGAAGCAGCTCATCAAGGATGATTTTGTCTCATTATATGCAGATTACTGTCTACTCAGATCAGATCAAAATAGATAATGTGGTTTGAGTTTGGCCCTAAATCTCTTGCAAAGAAAATGATTTAAATATCTGCTAAACAGGGAATTCAAAGCTAAAAAGTTAAAAGGAATGGTGATATGTAGAATATTAATGATGTGAAGAAAAGACGACATTCCCTCAAGGTGTTTCTGCAGGACCTTGTAATTTTCATGCATAATTATGTGTTCTGACTGACTATGGGACAGATTTATGAGGTAAGTACATTAGAACTGAGATGCACCACAGTTTTACACCACAAAAGTGATCATGTTACAATTTGATGAAATTTGTTCCAGTGTTTCAAACAGGACTTCCCGCTAAAGAACATTAGACAAAAATGCTAACAAAAGATAAAACTGAACTCATGGATATTTGTGTTGTGGAGGTTAAAAATGCTCACATTCTAGCTTGCCATTCTTTTCCCGATGACTGTTACTTTTGCTATCAACATATCAGTCAACTATGACATCTTACTTAAGAGGCTTGAATTGTGTGAAAGGGGCACCACTTGACTGGTTCACGTCATACCTATCAGACAGATGACTTAGCATCCACATTGACAACTGTTCCTCTCCCTCTGCGCGTCACCCCTGGGGAGTGCCTCAAGGTTCAATCCTGGGGCCACTTCTTTAGTCAGTGTATTTGCTACCACTGGGAATGATCTTAGTTTAACTTGGAATGATTACCATGTCTACACAGATTACTGTCAGATTTGGCAATAAATAAACCAGGCTCCACTCGCCTACTCACAGACGGCCTCTCTGAAGTAAAAAACTGACTAACTTCCTGTGCCTCAATGACATTAAGACTGATGCTATTCTTTTTAACCCCAAAAAAATCGTAATCACACACCAGGTGACCCCTTTCGCCCTTTCCTATACATGAAGTACTGTATGACTAGTTTGGGGGTGAAACTCGACTCAGATCTGTCCATGACCTCGCCAATCAATGCCACAGTCAAGTCCTGTTTCTTTTAACTGCACCAGTATTACTCGATTAAAGCAATTCTTTAGAGACCTAATCTGTCTGCTATTCACGTTTTTATCATCTTGTGATTAGACTATGCCAACTCAGTGTTCATTGGTGTCAATGAATATATACAATTTTTTTCTATCTATAATTTATTCATCTATAATACCTGCAACTGCTGGCTAACGTGAAATTACCATAGCTTTGATGTATAAGTGTTGCCAACCGTCTGTGAAGCATAAAGCCTCATTTCCACCAGAAGTGAAAGTGGCGTGTTTCGTAATATCGGCATTTTACTCGCAAGCTTCCTTCGAACCGGGAGCTTTTTAAAGGTGGAGAAAAACCATTCAATGCCGCTGGTCCTGCAAAGTCACAAAATAATAACACCATGTGTGATTTCAGAAGTCCACACAATAACAAGCAAGGAGAAAGACAGATGCATGTATCCAAAAAGATCTGTGGTTTATTTTCTGTTCTGTTTACATCGGCTATGTGGGTTTTACAGGAAATTACATACTTTTATCTGCATGTGACTTTTACTTTGAATGTTTCATAATGTTTTACACCACTTTTGTGTTTGACTCCTTGTCTTGCCCGACTTGAACTGCTGAGCGTGGTGCATTCTGAAAGCAAAGCATGTAAAAAGTAAATTTGGCGCGTACATTTTTAACAGAGACACTACGTTTTTTGTGACAAGTCCGAAATGCTTCGCTTCCCAGAACACACATCAGCGTGTTCACGTGTTGGGTGCGTATAAAGCTTCCTTTCCACCAGAGGTGAAAGCGTTGTGAAACAGCCACAAAATGTACTTTGTGACACCGACAGCTAAGTGTAACATTTTGGACACGTCCCAGAAGCGAAGGGACGTTATTGTTACGCTTCAAGTGGACTTTTCATGCGCTACGCTTCTAAAACACATTTGAGTAAAACATCTGGCAACTTTGAAAATAAAAGACACAGGCAGATTTTCAATTGCTTAACTAGTAAAATACCTGTGAAACCTCCACTATTTAGGTGAAGAGGAAATAAACCACAGATTTTTGGACAATCTAAATTTTCTAATACTTTTACAAAATGTGATAAAATTAACAAAACCAGCTTTCATTTTTAACATCATACATTTTCATTGTAACCTTTTAAAAAAGAAACTTTCCTACAGATTAAAATAGCACATTTACATACGAGTGTGAAATTCAATTAAATAAACAGTGATCGTGGAAAAAGTTTTGATGGAACAATGGTTGCAGTACTCATGCATAGATATTATTCAATCATGTTTAAGTTTTAATATTGAAAGTAAACGCTGAGCCTGACTTCTGAACCAAACTCTGCAGCACGGGTCCCTTTGGGTGTTGCCCGACATATTTCAAAAATATTTAGAGCCTTTAAAATGTTTATGGGGCACTAACCCTGTGATGAATGACACCATTTATCATTAAACTAATAATTAAAGAATATGATTGTTCAGAAGTTTGAGGTGAAAAACAGAAAATGTATTTGGCCAATGGTACCAGCCATTTTCTTCAGAAAAGAGAAAAATCTTCCAACTGCAGTGGAGTCAAAAGTTTTGCAATGTTTTTTATAGCCCAACCAGTCAATATGTTTGTCACCGTAACTTGTCCTAAGGAGCAAAGCATATATATGCTGGAGTCTTTTCCTGCAGTCAAACAGCTTCTAGTTTGGAGATTTTGCCAAAAGTTTTGAGGATTGAAAAAAATTCTCCTTTTTCTATCAGCTTGCTGGTTCATTTGGGAGTTTACAGGGTGATTTTTCTTCTTAGAGTGGCGATCATTGGCCTGGATGTTGTAGGGGGATCTGTAAATGTGATCCTGTGACACCAATAAAAACACCCCAGCCCAAACCCATAACCGTGATCTCAGGTCAACCAAAGGTTATCAAAAAATAATACATATTTTTAGGGTCTTTTTCTACACCCTCCAGCTACTATTCCTCAGGATATTATTAATTTTGGAAGCTAATTGTTCATTTATGAAACAATTCACTGAAAATTCTGTTGATCTAAAAGCTACGAGGAAACGTAAGTCATGGGGGTATGTACGAAAATAAATCAAGCATCAACATGGCCTTCGTTTAGGCATGACTCCTCTAAAGGTTTTTCACATTCAATCAGGTGTAGGGAGCCTTTCCGCATCATGGGTCCCCTGGAAGAACGAAAAAATGAATTCAAGTCAACGGGGCTATTTCAAAA